GGGCTGTGGGCAGCGGAGAGGCAGCGGATCAGGCGTTTTGTTGGCACCTGCCGTGGGGAGGGCCTGGGCCTGAAGGGAGGGGTCCTGCCGCTGCCCTCAGCCCCACTTCCTCCCCTGCTTGGGGGGCTGAAAACTACAGGGCCCAAGGCTTGGGAAACGCCCAGGAAATCAAGGCTCCCTGTCTCATTCTTATAAGAAGTGTTTCTGTGTATTTAAAATCATAGTAAACAGACGATTTCCCTAGATGAGAAAATTGTGAGTGATTTCTGTTTTCTTTCTTTTTAGTATTTTCAGTTCTTTCTACAATGACCGGGTATTACTTGTGACTTAAGAAAGATTACGAATTTAAAAGATTACAAAGCAGTATTGTATTCTAATTCCTTTCTGGGACGTAATCTCATACATATGATATATATAAAAATATATATATATAATTAATATGTATTTTACCCCAGTTTGCCCCACAAGTGTCTACACTGAATGTGTTACTTTCTAAAAAGCAGCCTTATTGGGATATAATGCACGAGCCGTGTACTCCATCCATGCAGAGCTTACAATTCAATGGCTTTTAGTACATTTATAGGATTGTGTAATTGTCACCACTGTCTAATTTTAGAACATCTTTACTGCCCCAAGAAGACTCATAACCACAAGTAGTCAGTACCCATCCCCCTCCTCCAGCCCCGGGCCACCACTAATTTGCTTTGTCTTTATCGATTTACCCATCTGGACATTTCACAGAAATGGAACCCTACGGTATGTGGTCTCTTATGTCTGGCATCCTTCATTTCAGATGACATTCTCAAGGTTCATCCATGCTATAGCAGGTGTCAGAACTTCATTCTTTTTCATGGCTGAATAATATACCGTTGTGTGGATAAACCATTTATCAGCTGATGGATATTGGGGCTGTTGCCCCTTTTGGGCTATTATGAATAATGCTGCTTTGAACCTTCATGCACAAATTTTTGTGTGGGCTTATGTTTTCATTTCTCTTGGACAGATACCCAGGAAGGGGGCTGCTGGGTCACATGGTAACTCCGTTTAACATTTTGAGGAACTGCCAGAGTTTTCCACAGCAGTTGCTCTAATTCCCACCAGCAGTATACGTGGGCTCTAATTTCTCTGCTACATTGAATATATTACTTCTATGACCATTATTTTAATAGTGGGATAGCCTACCCCATGTGTAAGTTAATCTTCCCTGAACAATCCTCTCCTAAGTACCTTCAGTAGCTCCCTATGGACTGGAGAACAAGGTCCCAAATCCCTCTGCCTGGAACTCGTCCCTGGGCGTACGCCTCACCCCACTCCCGCTCCTACCTCCACGCCCGTGTTCAATGTGCCCTGGCCCATTCTGCCTTCTGTCTACAGATCTTCAGAGGGCCCGGGGCAAGGGCGGGTAGGTCTGCCTTGCAAGATGTCAGGGGGGTGGCACTCCTTACCAACCACAGACAGCAGCAGTAGGACACTGCAGATGACGATGGACACAATGATGGCGGTCTCGCTGCCCCCCAGCTGCAGCGTGGCAATGGTCTGGTTGAAGTTCCCCACCTGGATCTGCACAGAGGTGCGGGGAGGGGGTTGTAGGTCCCCTGGACTTCCCTTGCCTCTTCTCCTCCCTCGCTGTGTAGTCTTGAGCAAGTCCCCTAACCTCTCTGAGCCTCAGATGCCACAACTATAAGACAGATAAACCCACCCATCTCTTGGGGATGCTGCGAGGGCTAAATGAGATGCTTGTTAAGCCCTTTGTCCTGGGCCTGGCACAGAAGGGAGACTCAACAGATATAGGTGACTGTCATCATTAGTACAGCCTGAGAGGAGCCCGAGGCCGAATAGTTCACAGGCCCTGGCCGCTGTCCTCAAGAATCTGGAGGGCTGCCCGAGGACCAAGAGTGTAGCTCAGTTCTGAGGACTCAAAGGGCAGACAAGGGTGCAGGTGGAAGGGAGCTCGCCCAGTCAGAGCCATCTTGGGGTGGCATGTGCTGCCTGGGAGGAAGTGAGCTCCCCATCCCAGGAGGCATGCAGGCAGGTACGGTGCAGAAGAGATCCCACTTTCTGGGCTCGCTCTCCACTCCTCCTGCCTCCCTCCCTCCCTCCGTGACTCTGCATGGGGACCGGCAGCCCAGACTCTGGGTAGAGCAAATGGAACAGGGCAACGTCTTACGGCCTCTGAGAGTCCAGCTCCGTCAGGCCTAGCTGGGGCCAATCACTGACCCTGAACAGGTCACTAAGTCCTTGGGCCTCAGTTTCCTCATCTACCAAGGGGGGAGGTCAGGCTCTGCTTTGTTCCCCGAGTCTAAGCTTCTGAGCAGGAAAATGCTCAGCTGAGACGTGCCAGGTAGGGGGCAGGCACTCGGGCCCGGGGGCAGGGCTGGGGGCCAGGCCTGCCTCTGCCTCCAGTGCCCCGTTCACTCACTGTGATGGGCAGCTGGCCCTCAGCTGTGCCCAGGGACTCATTGACCGAGCAGTGGATGACTCTCTCGGAGACGATCTGGATGTCACAGGCCACCTGGCCTATCCTGACCCGGTACTCGTGGCTCTCGAGGCCCAGGCTGTCCTGCTCCTTCTGTGGGAGCAGAGGGGGTGCTCGTGAGGCTGGTGGCTGAGCCTGGCCCGCTCCGCCAGCCCAGCCCCTCAAGGGCACTCACGTGGATGACCAGGGTGAGGGGCTCCCCGGGATGGTGCTTGATCCACTTCTCCCTCTTGGCCGTGGAGAACTGTGGGTCTGGGAGGTAGTCCAGGCGGAACCGGCTGCCCCGCTGGGCCTCCTCGGGGTCCAGCAGCTCCTCAGCCACCGCCACCTCGTCTGCATAGGCCCGCCCATTGATGAAGAAGATCACGGGGGCTGACGCGTTGTTCATGGCCCCAGGTGATGGGCAGGTGATGAGGGTGGAGTTGAGGACCTTGCAGAGCTGGTGGGCGGGCCCGGGCCAAGGTGGGGGACGGGGAAGGACAGCCAGACGTGGAAAAATGAGAGATTGAGTTTAATGAGATGGAGAGAGAGGCAAAGAGGGAGAGAGAGATAAGAGAGGCAGCGGGGTGAGGCTGGTCCGTCGGGGCGCCGGCCACCCTGCCCACCTGGGCCCCGCCCTCACCGTGGGCTCCCGGCCGATGTGGTGCACGGCCATGGACACGTTCTGCACCATGTGGAAACGCTCGCCAGCCACTGTGATGGTCCTGCCACCGCTGTGGGGGGACAGCAAGCCCTGTCAGCCCACCTGCGGCCCAGAGAGGGCCCTGGCCTGGGGGTTGGGTCTGGGTCTCACCTGACGGGGCTGCGGCGGGGACTGATGGCCGTGATGACCGGGTTCCGCATGTACCAGAAGGTGAGGTTGCCACGCACGCAACCCCGGCGCTCAAAGCGCACACACACGGGCACGGGGGCCGGCAGGGTGCCCCCAGGCACTGTGCAGGTGATGCTGGTGTCCGTGCGCCTGTGGGGGGACAGCAGGTGTCATCAGCATGGCCCCTGCCTCCCACTGCTCCCCCCTGCCCAACGTTCCACTGCCCCGGGGCACTGGGCCGGGGTTCTGGGCCTGCTCATCCGGCCCCCACCTCATACAAAAATCTTGTTCCCACATCCTCGTGGCCTCATCTTTGCTCCAGCTGTCCACCCTACATTGAACACTTTCCCTTCTCTGACTCTGGCCCAGCCCTCCTCCTCCAAGAAGCCTTCCCAGAGGTGCTCTCACGACTCCCACCCTGGGTGAGAGCTCTGCCCTCAACAGCCCTGAAATCACTGACTTCTCCCAGTCCCGACCCCACGGGGCATTCCTAGTTCCTGTGGGAGTGTGTGCAGTCCCCTGCGGGCTGAGACTGGTGGGCTTATCTTGGTGTCCACAGCAAGGCCTGTCCATAAGTGCATAATAAAGACAAGGATTTCACCAGGAGGTTCTGGACCACACCCCTGGGCCAGCAGAGGGCTCAGAGTGTGTACGACCATCATCATTAGTGCAGCTTAAGGCCACTGACAGAGCACCAGCTGTAAGCTGGGCACAATGCTCCCCACCTCTCACTGATACTGCTCCCAGATGAGTAAACTGAGGCTCAGAGAGGGGAAGGGGCTTGGCCAAGGGGACACAGCCAGTGAAGACCCAGGTGATGCTGGTACAAGCACCTCACCCCCGGTCCCCAGGCCCTCCACCCAGGGGCTTACACCAGCTCCGTGCAGGGCTCCGTATCATTCACCAGGACCTGCAGCTCGGAGCCCACGTGGAGGTCGTTCCCATGGATGGTGACCCTGGTGCCGCCGGCCTTGGGGCCCACAGCAGGCTCCAGGGAGTGGACAAGGGGGAGCTGTGGGGCAGAAGGCAGGTGGTCAGGCCTCAGGCCAGCCTGGGGCGAGCGTGGCGGGTGGGCGGTGGGCAGGGGGCAGGCTGTAGCCTTCCTTACCACATAGGAGAATCGCTCCCGCGACCTGCCCTCCTTGGAGGCGTTCACTGTCACCACGTCCGAGAACGCGCCTGGGGCTGGCCCTGTTGCACACACGATCCTGGGGGAGGCAACTCTGGTCAAGGAGCAGCCAGGCACCAACTGGCTTCTCCCTTGAACAACGCCCCCAGCTATACCCCCAGGGAGTGAGTGTGAGCACCCTACCTTGCACTCAGCCACCCGCCCTCCCACCCACAGCAGGGCTGGCATTTGGCCAGGACACCCAGCGGCATCACCCACACCAAAACGCCAAGACAATTCCCTGTCAGCTGGAGAACAGCCCTGAGTCCCCAGGTGTCACCTTGCGGGCAAGCTCTTCCCCGGGACGACCCCCACCCTGACTCCCCCTCCACTCTGCAACTGTAAGACTAGGGGAGTGGACATGATGGTCTTTGGGACACTTGAGAGTCCTCCAACAACAAGAACGTTTGTGGGGCTGGTAGATGGACGGCCTCCGGACAGGAAATCCAGCTCGTTTCCTGCTCACAAATGCTTCCTAGAGCCTCTCCAGGCCCATCCCCACAGCCGCAGGCCCAGATCTCCGCCCCACCGCAGCAGCCCCTACACTTTCTTAACATCAGAGCGAGGCTTCTGTGGAAGGAGGGCTGGTCTAGGGGAACCCAGGAGGGCTTCCTGGAGGAACAGGCCCCAGAGTGGGAACCTGAGGTGTAAGAGTGGTGTCCCGAGCAGGAAAGGGCATCGTGTGTGGTGGGAATGGCTTGAGGAAAGTCCGGGAGCCCTGGGAGCAAGGGACTTCTGGGCATCAGAAGGGTGCCGAGGAGGGTGGGACGGCAGAGGGGAGTAGGGAGGGGAGGGCAGAGAGGCTGCTGGCACTTCTGGGTGGGGTGAGGCCTAAGGTCACCCAGAATGGCCGCAGGGACTGCCCTCTACTCACTCCTCTGACACCGTGTATCTGTCGGCCAGTGGCTCACAGGCCACGCTGCCAATCCACACGCCGTGAGCCACGTCGCTAAGCCGCCGGCCCAGGTTCCTGCCGCGGATGGTCAGCAGGGTCCCGCCGTCCAGGGGGCCACTCAGGGGCTCGATCTGCCAGAAAATCAGAGAGCGGGGCGAACCGGGCTCTGAGGCTGGGACCCGGGCAGGCTTCCCTGCCACTGCCACAGGCACCCAGGGAGGCAGGGCCCTACACGCCCGCCACTGAGAGGGCTCTGACAGTGCCGGCCGGCAGGTCACTGGGGCTGCCAGTGAGGATGTGCGTGTGTGTCACTGAGCCCACTGGGGACACCAGTGTGTTTGACAGTCAGTGCTGTTTAAAGGGGGCCCAGTGGCCACGTCTGACCACATCAACCTTCATCCCAGCCAGAGCTGACCGGGCCTGGGATGGGCACCTGACCCAGGCTAAGCCAACCCGAATCCTTCCCGAAGATTTTTTTTTAAAGTTAAAACTGAGGCTTGGGAGTTACTGGCAGCCCCAATTTTCACCTTATCACCTTACCAGGGTCCCCTGAGCTCACTGTGACAATCAGAGCCACTTACCCGGCATCTCTTCCATCCCAGACCCCCAGGGCTCCCCGCTGCTCTTCTCCATAGCTCTCACCACCTTCTCCACATAAATTATTCCCTTTCTCATTACTGTCTGTCCCCCACCCCCAACTAAACATTAGCCTCGTGCGGGCAGGTACTTGGTTCGTGTGACCTAGGTGTGTGCAACTGCGTGTGCAGCGGGTCCGCCAGCCCGTGTGCGTGTGCATGTTCAGGCGTGTGGGTGCAGTGGGCCTGGAGGGTGCTTACCGCTCGGATCTCGGGGGCAGGGCAGGTGCCAGGCAGGGGCGGCAGGGCCCCCCGCAGGCGGCAGCCGTCACTCCACACACACAGGTGGCCCAGGTCCTCCCGGCCCAGGCACTGGGAACAGTCGGGGCTGCCCATGGCACAGTTGTAGACCTCCACTGCGGGAGACACGCAGGCAGCCTGGGTTAGCCGGGTCCTGGTGCTTAGGGTCAGGACTCCACGAAGCTCTAAGTACCTTCCCCAAACTCCCGGGGGGCTGTGTGAGCACAGTGCAGCGGCAGCCCCATTAACATTCATCCTCACTGTGATCCCATCAGGTGGGAGCTGATTAAGCTCCATTTCACAGATAAGTGATAAGGCTCAGAGAGGTAGAGTGACTTGCTCAGGGTCACACAGCCTGTGAACAGCAGAGTGGGTTCATACCCAGGCCTGAGCAGGTCTCCTGAGCCTCCAGCGGAGCTCCAGGATGCTGGGGAACCACTGAGGCTCTGCAGACCCAGCCCCTCGGAGCAGTCAAGGAGGAGTGACAAGCAGGCTCTCCAGGGTCCCACTGGGTGTGCGCAGGTTGGTTCTGGGGCCTGTGTCTGGGACATTTGTGGTGCAGTTGTGGGGGACCCCATGTTCACTAGGGATGTCTGGGACTCCCCACGAACAGACAGGCCCTTCGAGGGTTGATTCAATACACATAAGAGCAAGGACAGCACCCACCATTCGGGGGCGCTGACTGGGCCCCAGACACCCCACCAGGCCTTGCGGGCACCATCTCAGCAAATCCTCACCACACCCTCTGCACAGGGGCCTGTGCCCTCGCTTCACATGACGACAATGAGGCTCAGGAAGGGAAAGGTCAGTGCGTGCCCAGGGTTGCCCAGCCACTGGCGTGGGGATGCCCCAAGGGTATGGTGCCTGGCCCAGAGTCGCTGCTTAGTCAATAAGTGCTGAGAAAGTGACCAGGGATAGAAGGGCGGTGCTGGGACCTGACAGGGTGTGTGTGTTAGGGAACGGGAGGCTGGGACACCTGTGACTGCGGTAAGCACTGGAATGGGTCCCACCCACGATGGCTGGGTCACCTGCAGCCACTGGGGTGAGTGGGGGCTCCCACCTTTCATGGGGTCAGGGCTGTCCAGGAATCGGGCTGGCTGCCCCTTTAGTTGGAGGCTGAGTGGAAACATCTGGCTCTTCTGGGTCGTGTGTAGCTACAAAAGGGAAAAAGCATGAGGGGTGTGAACCGTGTCTGGGTCTCTGCTGAGGGGAGGGGATGTCAGGGAGAGAGATGAGGACAAGGCTGGTGGGGACAAGGGGATCAAAAGGAAGGAGCGCAGTATCCGGACTGGGGTGGGCCTCTCCTGCGCTGCCCCCCGTCAGAGCCACATCACTCACCACCACTTGGTTGCAGCGTACGGCCGACTCATTCACCCACACAGCCTCGAAGAGCTCCTCGTGCCCGAAGCTGCATTCAAGGGCTGCACCCTGCGGGAGACCGTGGGTCAGTGCGGGAGAGTCAGGTCAGTGCTCACTGGCCCCGACTCCATCAGGGCACCCTGGGCTGCTGTCCTGAGGAGAGGGCCGGGTCCTACTGTCAGGCCTTCGCCTGGGCGGCACCTCCTCCACGACATCCTTCCTCGTCTCCACGTTCAATGTTGGAAAGAGGCAGGGAGGCAGGGAGGACGTGAACTCCTGGACTCTCGGCCTGTGCTCTCAATGCCACCAGAAGCCTTGCTGACATCCCCTAACGGTCTAAACCTGGGCCCTTCACTCAGCTCGGAATGTTCTGACGCTTCAGCATGACTGAAGGTTCATCTTGTTGAGACTCCACCTGGTCTTAAGCTCAACAGCCCCACCTCCGCCCCCACCAGGCCCAGGCCCAGCCACACAGGACACCCTTCCACACAGCACAGGCCGTCCTGCCCTCAGGCCTCTGCCCGAGCCAGTCTTTCATCGCCCAGCAAAACTCAACACAGCCTTCAAAATCCAGCTCGAATGTCCCCTGTTTCAAAGCCTTCTCAGATGCCCCTCAAATCCAGGGGGGCCCTCTCAGTGATCATGCATCCAAGCGGCTGTGAACTTTCAGGTGTGTGCTGGGGGCTCTATTAAGTGCCTAAAGCCTGTCCCTGACCCTGCATGCCAAGGACCACCCTCACCCCAGGCCCGGGCTCTGTTTACAGCTATCATCCCATCTCCTGGGGATGGCTGGGGCTGGGTCTTGGCGCCTCAGGCACCTCCTAGTAGTTCAGGCTGCCCCTCACACAGGCCTAGGTTCAAATCCCACATCTGCTACTTCTTAGCTGTGTGACCCTGGGCAAGTGGCTCCTCCTCTCTGAGCCTTGGGTTTCTAAACTCCCCAATGGGAAGAGGCTTCCTTACTCTGCAGGGTTCTGGGGAAATGAGATTGTGCATCTTTACTGGGTGGCACACTGTGGGTGCCTAATATATACTGTTACCAGTATGCAGGAGGTGCTCAATAAATGTTTGGTGAATGAAACAGGGCCAATTCCTCAGTCTCATCTTGCTCAGCCCAGCACAGGCCTCTGCGAGCAGCACTGATAACTATTTGCTGATTGAACAAATCTGGGTTTTCAGTGTGTTAGGCCTGCTGCATGACAGGACTTCCTGCTCATGTCCCTGTCATTGGCAGATGTGCCACCCTGAGGAGAAAGCCGGACAGCGACCCCCAGCCCTGCCCCCTCCCATCCTTCGCTCTGAAACTAACACAGGAAAGCCGCTGTTAATAGGGCTGAAAGCTGATTTGTCCCCTGCCACAGTGGGCTGGGAGGTGGGTCTGTCCTCTGAGTCCCTGAGCTCAGGATGGCAGGTCCAGCCCGTCCTGTGGCCCTGCAGGGCATAGGCTCAGCCAACAGGGCTGCTGCAGGGCCCCTCAGTGTTCTAGAAGCAGGCCTGTGGGAAGGAGGGCCGGCATCATCGAGGCCCCGTGAAGGCAGACTCGTGCATCCCCGCTGACACATCTGGAAAGTAGCAGCGAGGACCCAAATCCAGGACGGGGGCCTCCCCTCGCCAGGCTCTGGTAGCCCAGGGGAGCATCACAGAACCTCCACCCGGGCCCAGGCTCCTTGAGCGTCCTGGAGGCTCCGCCCCAAATGCTGCAGGGAGGGGCTAGGCACTGAGGGCTGAGGGCTGAGGGCTGAGGGCTGAGGGCTGAGGGCAGGGCCCTGCCCATAACCGATCTGCAGTCCCGCCACCAGGCTGCCTGACACATCCCAGATGCCCAGCACGTGGCCACCACGTGTGACAGCCTTCACAGGCTCCCCCGTGGAAGCAACAGATGGCGAGTCCCCAGGAGCTGGGGAGGGGGTGGCTGGCACGCTTCCAGGACGCATCAACACTTCCCACCCAGGACGCTCCTCCAGGAGGGACCTAGAAAGGGGCTGCATCCCTTCCCCCAGGCCAGACGGGAGCAGGGGAGGGGAAGGCCAGCCATAGTGAAGAGCACTGGACAAGGAGTCCAGGGCTGGGGAGCAGGGCCAGCCCTACGTCATGGGACCTGGAAGCATCTGCTTCCGCTTTCTGGTCCTCACTTTCCCCATCTGGACGATGAATAATAGGGCGGCAAAGGGGTGGGCTCTCTGAACATCCTCCAGAGAAGACATGTCAGTCACGAACTGGGGAGGTTCGTCCAGGGTCACAGCTTAGCCCGGGGTGGGCCAGGCACATGGCAGGCAGTGTTACCCATGGGCTGTGGCACTGGGCAGGGGCTGGGCCCGGCTCTGTCGGGGGAACTTTAGAGGGAAGGGGGTTCTGGGGGTCCTGGCCAGGCTGTCCTGCAGCAGCTGGGGGAGGCCTGCTGTCCCCAGGGCCCGGCCCTCACCACTCGCTTTCCCTTCCTGCAGCTTCGTGCAGCGGAGCTTTCTCAGCGCCTGGAGACTCAGAGGAGGGAAGCAGAGCACAGGTGGTGGGCCTGGAGCAGGGGCCCCCCGCCCGGGGCTGCGCCCTCCCAGCCCTCCGCCACGCCCCCGCCCTGCCCAGCCCCGGTACCTGGAAGAAGGCGGCGTTGGCCAGATGCACTGGGAGGCTCTGGGAGCTGCCCGTGGGCATGGGAGCCAGGGCTGAGGGCACGATCTGCGGGCAGTCCTGAGGGCTCTGCAGTCAAACACAAGGAGGTGGGGGGACACTGGGGCATCTCAGAAGACACAGGACTCACGACCACCCCAGCCAGCCTGCGCAGGCCTGTCTCCCGGGGAGGCGCCAGTCAGCCTGTGTCATGAGGAAACTCTGCTAATAAAACAGAACAGCCACAACCACCGAGGGCACCGTGCCCAGCGCCGCCCACACACCGTCTCACTCGGTCCTCACAGCAAGCCCACGCGCACGAGGAGGTACTGGCCCCATTTTACAGACGAGGAAACGGAGGCACAGAGACGCAGTAACCTGCCTGGAGGAGCCGGATCCCCGCGGCCGCCCCACGGCGGGCCTCTCAGGGGCTGAGGCTGAGAGCCAGACCCGCTCTCTGGGCCTCGCCCTTCCTGGCGGTACAATGAGGCCTGCACCCACTTTCTGAGATTCCACCCAGCTCCAGAACGCCTGTTTCTAGACTGACACACGATAAATGACTCAGAAAAGAAACCCCAGACTTCTAACCAGCCTGCAGGAAACAGGCTGTGAGGGTCCTGGTGCCACCAGGCTCCAGGCCGCTCCCCACCGCCCAGGACAGCCACGGCCTCTGGGGGGCGGAGGGCCAGCTCCAGGGGAGCCGGGACAGCCTGGGCATCGGGATTCCCACGGCGGAGGTGGGGCCGCTGAGACTGCTTCAAACAAAGGAAAGAATCTGGGGAGCGGGGAGGGAGAAAGACCCCAAGGTTCAGAGAGGTGGGGGGCAACTTGAGGTCAAAGGCTGAGCTGGCTTTTCAACTCCCGTCTGTCTGACTCTCAGGCCAGAGACTGGGGTCTGAAACCAAGGGCCAGGGTGGGCACCAGGGATCAGGGTCTTTTCTCCTTACTGTTAATCAGACGGGGAGCTCTGTGAGGGGGGCCTCACATAAAACCAGAGCTCGAGGGATGCCAATGCCAATAATAATAAATAATGGCCGTGCCAGTGACAGTGGTGGCACCTGGACAGTTCCGAGCACCATGCACTGTATTAATCCGCCAAATCCTCCTCCCAGCAACCCTGAGTAGGTCCCCTCCTTACACCCATTTCACAGACTAGGATACTGAGGCACAGAGAAACAAAGTGGCTTTCCCAAGACAGAATGGGCACACAGCGGGCTCTGGCTGTCCAGACCGTTCACTGACCCCTGGCCAGAGACCTTGCCCAGACTGCTGAGTTTCCCTGGGAGTCGGACCACAGGGGCCTTGGCCAGAGAAACACGGCGAGGCCCAGGTGAGGCCCCCTGAACTGACCACAACTGCGGGGTGGGGAGGTAGCAGCTAGTGTCCAGCTCGCTGTGACACGCAGGCCTGTCCCTCTCTGAGCTGCTGTCCTACGCCATCTCATGCGTAAACCTCACGGAATTTCAGGGAATGGAACCCATATGTTTCTAATTGGGTTTCCCAGCTGCTGCCAGTCCACTTCACAGCTGGTGGGGGCCCTGCGGCTCTTGTCCTCCCGGCTCCGCCCCTCCCAAGGGTAGGTGGTCAAAAGGGGGGACTAGAGGGGTGAGGGTCGGAGAAAGGCGAGCTTCCACAGGAGTCGGGACCATCCTCGAGGGCCCTACGCCCCTTGGTCATTATAACCCACGGCCACCTGGGTGCTTGTACCCATTCTACAGAGTGGGAGCAAGCCTAAGTGCTGGCCCGACTCTGCCCCCCTTTGGTGCCTTGCTGGGGTCAGCCGATCCTTTATGGGGAGAGCTGGTGTATCTGCGGCCAGCCCCCAGCCCTGGCCATCTGCCTCCAAGTCTGCTTTGGCTTCTGGGGAATCTCCCCTACCCTGAGGCCTGTGGTTTGTGAAGACTGACCTACCCCCTAGCCCCCGGGACGGGGGGGTGCCCGAGCCCGCCCTGGCCGCAGCGCTCGGTGCAGGGGGAGAATGTGGCCCAGTTCCCCTGGAACTTCTGCAGAACCCGTGAGACAGAGCAGCTCCACCGGTTTCCAGGGGCTGCCGGGGCGCCGGGAGCAGCCGGCCTGGGGCTGCTGACCTTGCTGCCACGAGGGGAGACCTGCCTGAGCACGGAGGCCACTCAGAGGGGCGGGGAGACCCTGATGACGTTGTTGGAGCCCCTGGGTTCAGCTGTGCCTGAAATGGGTGCCACCCGTCAGACTACTCACGTGAGCCAACTGATCATGTTGGCGCTGGGGCCAGTTTGAACCAGGGCTTCCCTGCTTAAAACCAAAGGATAGAGGCCTCTCTGTCCCATCCCAAGCTGAGTCATCACAGAGGCCAAGTGGCTTCTTCCCTCTGCTAGACAGAGCGTAGCCTGCAGGCTCAGGAAACCACGGCCAACTTACCAAACTCCGAGCAGAGCTAAGAAAGCAGGAGACCACGAGTGGCGGGGACAGGCGCCAGGGCAGCGACGCCAGGAGCCCAGTAAACCTGGATGTGAGCCCAGGGTATGCCATGTCACAGGGGGCCTCACCAGTCTCCCTGCTGGAGTTTACAGACTCTCCCAAGGTCTTTCCAAGCTCAACGGTCAAGAGATGGTGTCCCAGTCCAGCCGGGCACTGAACCCACCTGATCTGTTCTCTCTGCCTCTCTCTCTGCACCCCCACAGTCCCCGGAAACGGCCCCCTGTTTCCCACCAAACCACTCTTTCCACTGGCTCCTAATGAAGCCACCTCCATGGAGGTGTCCACCCAGGCTCTGTGCCCAGGGAGCCCGCCCTCCCATTGGCCCAAACCCTTCTTGCCTCTAAGGCCTGAAGTCACACCACTTTGGGGGAGCCACCTCGGGGAGGCCACACCCTCCTCTGACAACAAAGTGGAGGACGTGGCCGCCTTCCTCACTCTCCTCCCCTCCTGGGAAAAGCCCGAGTGCTTCTCCCAGCACCCTCCACTCCCTTGCTTCCTTCCTCTGGGGCCCACGAGGGGACAGGAAGTGAGAGAAGACACCGCCCCTAGCACCTGCCCCACCAGAGACAGCTCCCTGGCCTGGCCCAAACCCTACCGCCTCCCCCGGCTCCCGAGGGGTCCAGCAGGATGCGCGGACCCCGCTGCCCGCCACCCACCCAGAGGCATGGCGCCTCCTCGGCTAACTGGCACTTAATTAAATGCCAAATTAAGCATGGGTCCTGCAGGCCCAGGGAGGGGGCTGCCTCTTCTCCTGCCAGATTATCATAATCCTCCAAGACAGGCCCTCCCTGTGCCCTGAACCCAACTCATGAGCCACAGAGCCTCAGACCTGGGAGAGAGGGGTTATGGAGGCGCCACCACGGAAACCCCTCCAGGCTGGTGAGCTCCTGTGCATCTGTCAGGGCCCGGTACAGGGTTCCCCTCCCGGAGCAGTCTTCCCTGTCCCACCCAGCAGAATGGCCACCAGCTCCTGACGAGCACAGCGGTCTTGGTGAGCACCTACTGTGTGTCAAGTACGAAGCTGGTGCCTTACTGTGTAATTTCAGACCTCCAGCACAGCGTGTGGAACAGGCCCCGTTTTCCAGACAGGGTAACAGCATCAGAGCCACAGTCCATCCCTCAGGCTCTTGGTTCATGACAGGCGGTGGGACGGGGCAGAACTATGTCTAACCAGGTGCTTTACCAGCACAGCACACACAACCAGGCACACAACAGGTGCTCAATAAATGCTGGATGAACAGTGTTGAGGCTGGGTCCTCCTTGCCCCAACACTCCTCTAGGTTAGAGCACAGCAGGCAGGCTGCTGGCATGAATGCTTCCCATTGACATTCATTAAGTCCCTACTGTGTACACAGCCCGGGGCTGGGGCTGGAAGGAGATGGGGCTCCAGAGGAGAGCAGGCGTCCTGCCTGGCCCAGACTGGAAGTCCCCTCAGAGGCTCGGAGCCTCCCCTGCGATCTGGCCACGCAGCCTCGACTGGGCCCCTCCCAGTCCTGGAAACCCCACGCTACTGCATCCCTGCTTTCAGTTAAGCACCGCTCCTGCTGGACAGCTCTTCCCCCAGGCCGTTCTGAGGCTCCGGCAGGAGGGGCCGAGACCAGAGGATTCCAGGTGCGGCCATGGAGCCGGAGCCGCTCATTGGCACCTGCGGGGGGAAGACTGGCTTCACGGACACCTGACGAACTTCCCTGAGCCCAGGGCCAAGAGGCTGGGGCTTCAGATACTCTGGGGACAGGGCATGCTTCCCTGGGATTCAGGCCCAGGGTGGGGCCGCAGTCACATCCTTCAACTGGGAGTCATACTGACTGCCTCCATCATCTGAAAAATGGGCAGGGACATCCCTTTTCTGGAGAGATGAGCTGCAGGCTGGAATTTGGTACTTCACCCCAGCCTCTCACAGCCCTGATCCGAGACAGAGGGCCCAGTGGGCAGGTCAGACAGGGGATGAGCTGTGATGGGACCCTGGCCCCTGCATCCCCTGCCCCAGGTGCTACCACCCCAGCCAAAGTCTCAGGAATCCCACTTGGTCACCCCTAGCACAAGGCTGGGGTGGCCTTAGAGGCTCTTTGGGCAGAGGCGAGAGGAACTGGGGACTGTGGGGGTGCAGAAACCAGCCAGCAGAGAGGCACATGGTGCCTCGGGCTGTGTCTTTCCTCCAGTTCCCCACCTACTGATTACATCCAGCTGCCCTGGAGCACTGGGTGGGATCACGATCCCACCCAACAAGACAAGGACCCGGACCAGCACAAGGACTTGGGAAGGTGTGGTTCCGGAGGCCGCTGGCCCTCTCCACGCAGGAAGAGCCGCGGCACCCCCGGCCCCGGACATGTGGGGAGGACACTGGCTCCAAGCCAGAGGCGCTCGGATTCAAGGCCTAAGTCTCGTAGTCCCCGACCTGCAAGGGTTGCTGAGAACGTTGAGGGTAAAACTGAAAACTAGCACCATGTGCAGAAAGGGGGCTCCTGCAACAAGAAGTATAAACTGGCTCAGGCTTTCTGGGGGTCCGAGGAGAAAGTGTAAAAACATGGCCAGGCTTTCACTCCAAAATGCTATTGTGAAGAACTGGTCTTCGGGGAATGATCCAGGCCATGCACAGCGCCCCGGACGAATCAGAATGCAAAAACAAACGGGGAAGTGAGCAAGATGTCCAACAACAGGGGACTGGTTAAATGCACCGTGATGTGATGAGCCTGGCATGGCTGTTAAATCTGGTGCCGAGGAAGAGAATTTAACGACATGGAAATGTTCTCAACATATTAAATGGGGGAAAAAAGGAACAGTGGAGGCAGAGGGCATCCCCCGGGCCTGGCTTACCGTGGGATTTGGTGAGGCCTCACACCGAGACTGGTTGGAGACGCAGGTGTGCTGCTGGGTGCACCAGAAACAGGGCCATTGTGCTGACAGGCAGCTGGTGCAGCTGGAAGACAAAGGGGGCCCTCAGCTACCTGACTTCCAAACCAGGGTGCAGACCCCAGAACGGGAGAAGAAGGTCTTTCTCATCATCAGAGCTGCCGAGAGGGGCTGGGCACTTTGTAAGGTAGTGAGCCCCCGGCTGCAAGAGGTATGCAAGGAGGAAATAGGCAAGCAGGGCCATTAGGAGACTATATTAAGTGTAGTCAAAGCACTTCTACTAGTCTGAGTGCTCACAGAGGCCACGGACTGGGTGACACAAGTTTGTTGCACAAATGAGCTGGCGGGTGAACAACCAAGGGTCCCGTCTGCCTCAAGGACACCGTCATTTTTCTCCCAAAGGCCTCCCCAGGAGCAAAACCTCCTCCCACCCCCGGGAAGCAAGCCCCGCAGCACTCACGCCGTGTGTGGGTACACTTGTCCCACGCGGCTGCAGTCGTAGATGGCGAAACTGGCCCTGACGATGTTCTGCCCGTTGACTCGCACCGACATCTCCACGGTCACGTGGTCTGGAATGGAGCCGGGAAGCCAGGGAGAGAAGGAGAAAGGGGGCAGGGGTCTCCATTGACATCAGAGACCGTGATATCAGGACTCCCCACGGCTTGGGGAGTGAAGTGCTTACCTTGGTGGGGCGGGAAGGGTGGGAACTGGTCCCTTGGAAGGAGGTTGCAGTAGGCGATCTGGTGTCCAAAGGCAGGGCCTGGGACCCGGGCCACAGTGCGGATGTTTCCATAGTCACAGGCCATCTCCATGCCGCTGAGGCTGGGCAGGCTCCCTGAGATCTGCAGGATCATACCCTGGAGGCCAGGGACCCTTAGCTGGGGGTGGGGGGACAGGCCACTTCCCTCACAGCCCCACCCCCACCCTGCAACTTCAGGCCAGAGGGCTGCAGCCTATAAGTGACCTTCTGGGCCTCAGTTTCCCCATGTGCAAAACAAAGCTGATCATCTTACAGTAGCCAAAGATGCACTGCATGATCTGGCCCCCACGACCTCAGACCCCATCCCCTAATACTCTCTCAAATTGCGAATCTTGTTCCTACCTCAGGGCCTTTGCACTGGCAGTTCCCTCTGCCCAGATCCTCATCTTGGCTCACCTACTTCTTATCTCTGCTCGGATGTCACCTTTGCAGTGAGCCCCTGACCCCAACCTGTTCTAAAATGTCAGCGCCTCCCCCAACTCTTCTCTACCCCTCTCTCTGCTCTGCGTTTTCTCCACAGTATTTATCACCATCTGGACATTTTATCTTGCTGTTCTCTCCCGGATAAGTGTGTCAGCGCCTCAAGGGCTGGGGTTTGTCTTGTTTACTGCTATGTCTCCACGTCTAGAACTGTGCATGGTACATAGTAGGTGCTCAATAATATATTTGATGAATGATAAATGAATGAACAGATGGATAAACCTCTGGCCGGTCTGCCTGACCAGACAAGGTGAGTACAGGACTCAGAGACAAGTAAATGGGGAGTGGGGCACAGAGGAGCCCAGGCCCTGTCTGAGACATCAGAACCATCATCTCCTACCAAGTGACAGATGAGGACACGAGCCTCAGAGACGTCACTGAGGGCAGGGCTGGGGGGGACCTGAGCCTGTCTGTCCGCCAGCCCCTGCCCCTGCCGGGGACTAGAACCTTCCCCTTGGCCGGCTAGAGGGAAGCAGAGGTTTGGGCAGCTCTAGGCGCTCCTGGATGTGGGCGAGGGGGGAGCTACTTGCTCCAACGCTGCAGATCCATCTGTTTCTCAGCATGAGAAGCAGCAACCTGGCACTTGGTGGCCCCTCCCTTGTGCAAGGGCCGGAAAGGTAGGACGTGAGGTGGGGGGACTCCCCTCCCACAGCCTGCCCCTTCCCTCCTGGCACTCTGAAGCCCACTCACTTGAATTCAAATCCCAGCTTTGTCACTCCCTAGCCTTGACCTTGAGCAAGTCATTTTACTGCTCTGAGCCTCAGTCTCCTCATCCGTAAAACCTTCAGGGATGTTAATCAAGAGCCTCCAGTCATCCTCACTGTTTTCATCATTTGCCTCCAGGTCCCCAGGGCGTCATGGGCAGGATTCTCCACTCCTCAGGGTTTGGGTATCAGGTGAAGGGCAGCTCTCCACCCATATCCCCGACACTCACCGGGTACTCCTGGTGCACGTCGATCTCGGCCGGCAGGATGGTCATGGTGGGACAGCGGCCGGGGCCCTCGCTGGCACTGGTCCAGAAATGCGGCTGGCTGGAGTTGGCGCAGTCCTGCTGCAGGGTGCACCTGGGGCGGCAGGGCGCAGGTCAGAACCCGGGGGGGGCTCCCCCACCCCCCATGGCCTCCCGGGCCCAGCCCCTGCCCTGCCCCAGGGCCTCACCGGGTTTCCAGGGCGCACCAGCCACAGTAGGCGTCGGCCGCACCCACGCAGTCCCCACAGGTGGTGTGCACGGCGCACGCAGCGACTTTCACCCTGGCCATCTGGAGGCAGAGGCGAGGGCCCAGCTCAGTGGGGCTGCCAGCCTCCGCCTGGGGAGTCAGCATGGTGAGGGCCATGGGAGGCTGAGGAAACTGAGGCTCGAGGCTATAATGGGGGGGAAACACAGGGAAACAAGGCTTCCCTGCAGAGGTGATGTCTGCATCAGGAGGTGACAGGTGAGCAGACCAGGGGTAGGGGAGGAGGCGTTCCTGGCAGGAGGAGCAGCAGGTGCCAAAGGCAAGACCAGCAAGAGGGCTCAGCTCGGCCTGGGGCCTCATCAGGTCCAGGATCGGGCCTTACCTGGTAGGACGTCATCAGATAGAGGTACCCAGGGTCTGCGGGGTCAAACTGCATGACGTGGTGCACGGGCTCCCCATAGGCCACCGTCACCACCCTCCTGCTCACCACCTGCATGCTCTCATTCAGGTTGATCTGGGGGGAAGAGGATGGCCATCAGGGGATGGGGCTCACGGCAGGGGGAGGCCAAACACCGGCCTGACCTGGGCGTAGGGTCTCAGCCTCCCTCTCCTCTACTGGGCCCTTCCAGAACTGGTGGGAAGTCAGAAGGGTAAGGGCAATGGGTCTGGCCTCTACACTTGTGCCTCTGCTGTCCCCCACCAGGACTGCCCTCCCTGTGAACACGTCTGAGAGGCTGTTGGGCACTGTGTTGACAAGCAGGGACTTGGGTGTGAATTCTGGCTTTGATGTTTCCAAGCTGTACAAATGTACCAGTTGTCCCAGTCCCTTCCCCTCTCTGAGCTAATGGGACAGAGGATGGTACCTGTCCCCCACGACTGAGGGGTGCCCTACAGGAGAAGACAGAGGCCAGGCACTGACAGAGCTGGGCCCAGGAGAGGCCCTGGGCCCCCATCTCATTCCTCCTCTCTCACGCCCATTTTATGGATGAGGAAACTGAGGCCCAGAGAAGCCAAAGGACTTGGCAAGAGTCCTAAAATGAAGCTGTCCCAGGGTCACGAGGCAAGCTGAGGACTCTGACCCCCCAGAGCCCAAGGTGGGGCTGGGGTGTGGGGTCCAACGAGCAGGCAGGAGAAGGAGCAGGACGAGAGGGGCCTGGAAGCTTCTCTGCCTGAGGGCCCCTCGGCCTGTCCACCTTGAGAACCGACAACACCCATCAGAGTCTCATCAAACTGCTCTTCTCCCACTGGCCTCACATTCCGGACACGCTGCCTGGTCAAGGCCCCGCTAAGCCCTGAGCTGGGACCAGTGGTCTGGCTGCCTCCCTGGGCCCTCCCGCCGCCCAGCCCTCCTCTGTGGGCTCTGACCCCTTAGGGGTGCTTCCTGCTGACGGGATCAGCTTGTTCTGGCATTCAAGGCACTGACAATCCACCCCAACCTACTCTGCCAGCCTCATCACTACACCCAATTCAGCATTCCAGCCCCCAGGCCTTTTCCCATGCAGTGCCCCCCTGGAATATCTCCCTTTCCCCCTTGGGCCAAGATCCATCCTCCCCATTTCTCCAACAGAAAAGCTTCCACACACGCCTGAGAACCCCCTCGTCCCCAGTGGCCTCTTGGCAGAGTCTGCCCCAGGCAGCTCGGCCCCACCCCGACCCCTGGCATCCAGCAGACACTCAGTTCATTTCCAGTCCTTCAGAAGTTGACTGAGCACATCAAGGGCTGGGCTGGGTGCTACGATCTGAGAGCAGATGGGAGACGACATGGCGCAGCACAGGGAGGCGGGTGAAGGGGTCCAGGTTGAGGGGTGGGGTGGGCCTCTGGGCCAACGGAACCTGAACTCAACCCCAGCTCTCACTGTGTGACTTTGGGGCAGTCATCCTCCTCTCAGTGTCCTCATCTGTGAAAGGGGATGAGTGGCTCTGCCTCCCTCAAAGGGATGTGAGAATTAAACAAGATGATGCCTGTGACATGCCTGTTAAGGCTGTGTAGACAGTGGTGCCCAATAACTGCAGCTTCACAGGCAGGGAGTGGGGGAGGTGCCTGGGCAGATGAGGAAACGGAGGCTCGGACAGGGAAGAAACCGCCCTATGTCACACAGCTGGGAAGGGAGGAGCCAGGATCCGCATCCAAGTATCTGACCCCAAAACACAAGCCCCACTGTCTGCGGACCCTCAATGGAAGCTTTGAAGGCTGAGGAACCCCCTTCCTGCTCCCACGCCTGGCATCTCCCCAGAGATGTCAGTGGGCCAGCCAGGGTCTAGGGGCCAGGCGGGCTGGGACTCTGACCCCCACTGCACACCCCCAGCCTGCAGCATCTGCTCGGGCAGCTGAGGGACTTGGATTATTGGCTCTGAATCAATTAGGCCAGGCCCTGGTGCACGTGGGAGCCCTGCCAGGCCACGGATGCTCTGACAGGCCGGAGCGGGAGGTAGGCGGGGGCCGGTCCATGCCCTCACTCCAGGGCCCCTTAGTGGGGAAACCAGGTTCCTCTCACCCCTTCCCAGCTCTCAGCATCTCAGGGCGGGCACCACTCCCTCCAGAAACCAGTCACCTTGGCTGGAGGTGGGGGGATCTGCAGAGGCGGCCAGCAGGGTGGAGGAGGACATGGGCGGGTGGCCCCCACACGCTAGGCTGTGGCCTCCCCTCTCCTCCCTCCCCCGTCAAAGCCCAACAACGGTTTCCAGAGGCCACACCTGCAGCCCCTAACAGATGGGGAAACCAAAACTGGGAGAGAGAAAGTTCGGTGCCCAAGGTCAAATAGCCAGCAAGTGGCAGAGCCCATTAACTTGAACTAAGATCTGCCCTGCTGCAAAACCCAGGTCCCGGAGACCTGACAGCAGGGCCCTCTCTCAGCCCGGGTCCCTCTGCTCCACCGGACACTTGCTGTTGTGAGCAAGTGTGAGAAACAGGTGTGGAAAATGCCTTACAAACCATGAACGCTAGGCCAGCAGGAAAGGATGGAGGCTAGCACCGGCCCTGCTGAGGCTCGTGTCCAGCCGGGCCCGGCCTGGGCCCTCCCCAGCCCCCCGGCCCCGCCAGGCGCCCCCAGCCCCAGGCCTACCTTCAGCAGCCGCCCGCTGACTGTGCCCAGGAAGACTACCGTGTAGCTGCCCACGCTGGCCACGGCCACGGACGACAGGCCCGGGGCTCGGAACACGGGCGTGGCCTTCAGGGGCTGCACGATGGACAGCGGGTGTTGCAGGTGGGCAGCCCCGCAGTCCAGCTGCTCCGGCTGCAGCTGCGAGACAGAGAGCACGTCAGACCTCGGCTCCAGAACCTTCTCTGGCTCCCTGTCCACACGGCCGGCTGGGGTCTCAGGCCCCAGAGCTTTAAAGCCATACTCCTGCTTTTAATGCCCAGCTCTGGGCTCAGGCCCAAACACAAGCAGGACCCTGTCTCTGACCCCAGATCAACCCTTGCCCTCGGCCTTAGTCACGGAGCCATCCCAGGGGATGACTTTTCTGATTCATAGGAACTGGACAAGGGGAGTCGTGTGAGGGAGGCAAGAAGGGCCGGTGAGGCCAACCTCTGCCTCACCCCACCTGCTGACACCCAAGAGGTGACCTTCCTGTCCCTGCTGTGTCTCCACAGCAACCACGGGCTTCCTCCTCCCAGGCCCCTGATCTGAACCCAGCACCTCCCCTGCCAATTCCCAGCGGCTCATCAGATCCAGGCTGAGGCCTCCCCAAACTGAAGCCCCTCTCTCCTTCCCCAACACACATCCCCCTAATCTGCCCACATTACAGGTGGGCAAACTGAGGCCAAATGTGTCCAAATGCACAGCCCCACCAGCCACATCAGCCTCACCTCACGGGAGCGGGACAATGGCAGTTCCCTGGACTTGAGACCACCTTTCCCATCTTTCCCTGAGTTTCGCTCGTCTTTTCAAATTTTCCTCCTGCAGTTTGCGCAAATACAACATAGGCCTCCAGGAAGTGCCTTTGAGAAGATAACTGCAAATCCACAAGGATGACAAGACACGGGGTGGTTTAGAAGAGAGGATAGCAGGGACACAACCTCAGTGTCCCCTAGGACTGAGCACGTCATCCAGGAGAGCCGCCCCACCCGCTGGCGACCCCACAAATCTGTAGTGATTATGAAGAAAGACGTCTGGCTGAGAGAAGTCACAGGCTGTCATGGGGCCATTCTGGTAAAACTGGCGCACACACATTACAGTAACAGTCACGACAGCAAACACAGTCACAGGCCACATCTTCAGGGAACTGACCAGGCCTGTGCACTGACTCCCTGAGGTCCCATGTCACAGACGGGGAGAATGAGGCTCAGAGGAAACATGGGCCGCTCAGGGTCACCAGCGGCAAATGCTGTGCCACCAGGGCTGAGCGGGCAGCAGACTGGAGCCCACGCCTCAGCCCCCACTCCCACCCCGCAGACGCCAGGATGTGGGCATTGGAGGCTCCGAGCAGAAGGCCACCAGAGTGCAGCATCAGACACCCAAGAGGTACCACTTTAAGGTACCACTAGAGAGAGGTTATTTTCCCTTAGCCGTACTTTTTGCAAACCAAACCCACTGACAACGTGCCTGTGTGGATTCTGCACAAAATCTCAGCGAGTTTCCAAAAGCAAACCATCCAAACTGGCTCCTTCATCTCTGGGAAAACAAACACAGCTGAGCCTGAGCCCAGAGACGGGGTGGGGCTGGTCAGTGCCCTGGGCCACAACTGATGACCAGGTGGCCTTCTGCAGGGTGGCCAGGGGCGACCCAAGCCAGTCACTTCATTCCTGGGAGCCTCGGTTTACTCATCTGTAAAGTGGGTGCATGCAGAGCACATCCCTCACAGGCACTCGGGCAAGACAGCTCATCATAAAGTGCCTGCATAGAGCGTGGCCCACGGTACATGCTGCAGAAGTGTGCACTGATGCTTCGCTGTTCCAGACATGAATGTCACTAAAATCATGAAGTGGAATTTAGGACAAATCATGCTGCCTCAAAAGCTTTCTAACTTGCCTGCCTCGAACCACCTTCAGGCACCATCCTCTCACCTAGGAGGCTCTCCTGGGCCCCTCTTCTCTGGGCCGGCTCTTGCCCTCTATATTTTCCCCTTAACGTAGCCACCAAGTGACCCTTTAAAGATAGGTCCCCCCTGCTTAAAACCCTCTGATGGTTGACACCATACTGAGAACAAACCCTGAATCCTAAACCTTCCTATAGGTCCCTGGCACCTTCGGAGGCCATCCGACATCCTCCTTGCCCTCACTCCTCCACTCCAGCCACACCGGCCTCGGCCTCACTTCTGTTCCTCAAACGTTCCAAGCTGGGTCCTGCCCCAGGGCCTTTGCTCATGCTGTTTTCTTTGCCTGGAGCTCCAGTGCCCAGACTGTCTTTCAGCTTCAGGCCTACTCTGCCTGACTTCATCCTCTGTGTTCATCGCTGTGCCCGAGTTGGGGGACGGCCCTGGACAGTGGGTGCTGACCCCTCTCCCCAGCTGCTCCCCCAGGCTTGGGCCCAACCCCAGCAGTCCTGCAGCTGTAGGGAAGAGGTGAGGTGGCTCCCCCAGCGAGCAGCCAGGAAAGCGGGCGCCTGGGCCCGAGTCCTGCCATGAGGACACTTTTCCCAGGGGCTGTATAACTTTTCTCTACTGAATATGGATGACTTGCGTCATTAACTAATATGCTATTTTAAAATTACAATTGTAAACCCTCGCCCAGGGAGCAGGAGCTTCCTCCTTGAGCTCTGGGAGTTGAGGGAAGGCAGGAGGGGGAAACCTGGCAGGCCCCACGTTGACACCTTTGGGGTTTTCTGTCCTGGGCTCTGTGATGGGAGTTCCTAGGCAGCCAGAGTCGCGGGTGCTGGGAACAGCCAGACCCGGCGCCCAGATCAGGGTGATTTGTGGGCTGGAGCGGACTGGGACTCGGCTCTGGTCTGCCCGCCCTGACGCGCACAGTCATTAATTCTGCACCGAAGGAATTCTCTAAAAAAGCCTTTCCTCCAACTTTTTTTTCCTTATCCTAAAATAAATTTAAAAAATTTTTAAAGGAGAAGTAACCCATTGGCTGCTCTGCACGATCTGTGCTCTGAGGGGAAGCTGACTCCCAACCACCAGGGGAAATCACAAGGCTGCAACTGACTCAACGAAACAGAGGCCGGACACACGCCCACGGGGCGGGAGGGAAAGGCCTCCCCTGTGGGGGGACGCAGGACAGGGGACAGTGGGCTCGGGGGATCCGGCAGCCGTCCTAGTGTGGCCTCAGCTGAACTCGGTCTCCAGGGGCAATCAGCTCCAAGGCCCAAATATCACCCTGACCGTGTGACACTGCTTGAAATTCCTCCATGAGCACCGGCCTGCCTTCAAGCCTCACTCAGCCTTGGTCTTTCAACACACATTCCCCAGAGAGCAGGGGGAGGGCTGGCCTCTCGTGGCAACCTCCGCTGATCCACAAGGACCACCTGCCCAAGCATGAGGCTGGTGAGCCCCTCCCTGCTGTGAAACTCGTCGCTGGCTCTTGGCTGTCCTCGGGGTCAGTCCTGGCATCCGAGGCCTCCAAGATCTGCCTCCTGCCCCATCCTCTGCTTTGACCACACCAGTCTACACAGTTTCTCAAATGTGGCCACACTTCCCTACTAGGGTGCCTGAACCTTCATAATGTTGTTCCTTCAGCAGCCAGTTCTCTTCCCACACCTCCGAGCCACTCACATTTCTCCTGGCTCTCCAGTCCCCACTGTCTTGACCCACGCTGTGCCCTTTGCCAGGCATGCCCAGGCAGCAAGTCTTTAGCCAGCCTTCAAGATGCGACTCCAAAAAAAAAAAAAAAAAAAACCAGCCCTCCCCTCCTCTGTGATAGCACCGTGCTGATCACCACTTTCCTTTATCATAGTGGCATGTGCGTGAGCTTCTCCAGGGTGGAGACTGTGCTTGTGGGAGTGTTTACTAAAGAAATGAAACTAATTTTGACTAAAGTGTGAATGCCTGTATTCAGCTGCTTCCTTTCCAAGCAGAAATATTGAGAGTAACACTGCCATGCTGGGTGCTGGAGAACCGAAGAAGTATGGGTCAACTGTATGTCTACTGTGTGTGTGGCAACATAGTTGAGGTAAATGTCCAGGGCCAGGCAGCACCTGGCTGCTACTTTTGGCTCCTCCAAGAACCTCAGTTTATTCCTCTCTAAAATGGAATGAGCAAGGAGCAGCTGCTGGTCTCAGCTCTCTTCTAGGAGCAGGATACCCTCTCCCTCTCCAGCTGGCTGCCTCCTGGGGCCAAAGCTCAGCTCTGCCCACTCTCCCATTAAAACTCTGACATATTGATTTCACTACCAACTATAATTGTGTCGACTTTCTCTCCCCAGGAAGCCAGATGGAGCAGGGGCTTCAAAAGCCTGGCTCCTCAGGCCTCCCGCCTCCTGCCCACAGACCCCACCAAACCTCAGTCCCACCGCAGGTGGCATTCCAAGGAGGGTGAGGCATCAGCAGCAGGCTACAGCCCCAGTGGTTCCGTCCCAGATGCAGGCGGCACCGGCTGCTGGGGCCCTGTGCTTGGGAAGTGACCGCACTTTCCTGCCTCAAGTGTTTGACTGTTACCGAACCCTGAACCCAGGAAAGAGAGATTTCACTACCGAGAAGCTGAAAGTACATGATCACTTTTGGGTGTTAAGCAGACTTTGGGGTGTGCCGCTCACCGCATGGGGAGGGGGCGGGGGCTGAGCTGAGCCCCTCCCAGTCACCTGGCACAGCAGCAAAGCACTGCATGCAACGTGGGATCCTGGAAAAGGAAAAAGGACATTCGTGGAGCAAAGGCTGGAGTTTTGTTGAGCGTAAAGGACCAACGTTGGTTTCTTAGTTTTGACAAATGTATGCTCTTAGCAATGGGGAAAACGGAGGGTGGAGGATGTACTAGCTTTTATACTTCCCTGTAAATCTAAAATTATTTCAAATTAAAACGTTTATAAAAAAAAAAGAAAAATGCAAAGCAGGTTATAAGCCACCCACAGCTCAAGAGCCTTCAACAGATCCCCAGTGCCCTCAACGTAAAGACTAACTGCGCCTGGGCCCTCAAGGCCCTGCTCGATCTGGCCTGCCTTCTGTGGCTTCTCTCCATCCCTGTCCCGGCCAGCTCCTATCCCTCAGCGTGGACAGGCATGGAGGGGCCAGGAGAAGGCCCCAGATGGGACAGGAGAAGAGGGAGCCAGCAGCACCTGGCAGGGGAGTATCAGGGTCTGACAGTCTTCGGGAGGCCTCAGAAGCCAGGCCTAGACAAAAGGGCACTAAATTCTGCCAGCTTG